TCCTTGGAGAAGACTGCTTCTGGGCTGCTGGTATTACTCGTTCCAACAAGCTTCTTCTGCTCTGTCTAATCCTGAACAGCTTTTGTTGTATATGCCTGCCTGTCTTGGTAAACTTGCAAATGGATTCAGTCTTTGCTTTTTAGAGAGCTAGGATTTTCTTCTGGACTCCTACTGAAAGATTACAGAAAGGAAAATGTTCTTCCTAAGGTACAGCTCTCCATCTGCCGAGCTTGACGTCTGTACTCGCGTGTGCTTTATGGAAGGAGATTGCTGAGGGAATGTTTTAGCTCCCTGGCTCTGGAACAGTTGTTTACTTGCTGGAGCGAAACTTTGCAAAATCCCTGCACCAAAGACCTTTTAATGGAGCCTTTGGAGCCAAGTGGCTGGGTGAGTGCTGAGACAGGCACTGACGAATGCAGCAGATGGGGTGTTCTCTCCTTGCAGCCTCCCAAGAATGCCATGGCAAATGATAATTTGACACAATTACAGGCCTAGCTTTGGAATATGGCCCTGTGCTTGGATGTGACCATGTTCTTTGTACGTCTCCAGGGCAGTGAGAGTTTATTACAGGCAGCTGCAGTGATTGCATATCTTTTTTTTTTTTTCTTTTTTTCTTCTGTCACTCATTCTTGAGAGACTTTTTGTTAAGGAATCTAGTGTGTCTGTGGTTTGTAAGTAAAAACTTAACGTTTTGTGGGAGAATGGCCCTGGTGCTACAGAGCAGTCATTGAAAATCCAGGCAAATGTGCGCACGCACAAAATTTTTGAGGATAGCTGCTGTTTCTAGTGCTTTTCTCAGCATAGCTGGCGCTCGGCCTTGGGTGCCCTGCTAGCACAGTTCATGCACCACAGCTGCACGGACGAGCTCCTCTGGGCAGGGCACAAGAGCCTCCTTATGCTTCTGTCACATCAGTGCTTAGAAGAAAGTACATCACAATAGGGTGAGTTTAAGCTAGTTTTTAGCGTGAGGAACTGTAAAGTCTGAACAAACCATGCAATATTCTGACCTTCTCTGATTAAAACTTCAGTTGTATGGTAGTTAACCTTGGCCTTATCTACAAAGGTGTATAGTCCCCTGAAAAACGCTATTACTGGCATTCTGTCTTCTGTATGACCCACCTGTACCTTTTCGATAGTATCTCAGTGCCTATGGCAGTTGTGCAGAAGGCTGACCAGGCAGGATAATTGCTTGGTTGTGCTGCCAGCCCCCGTGGCTAATTCCCCATCCTGAGACCAAAGCACTGTTCAATGCTGGGCAGGGTCCACAGTAGCACTGATCCTGGTGTAGGGGTGGGCCTGGTACGATGGCGAGGAGTGTTTCTGTCCTTTAAATAGGACTAGGAGATTTTATCAAAGAAGATTTAATGTTGTGGTAACTGAGATTTTGGAAATATGTGTATGCTGCTAGCCACAGTTCTATGGCTGGTCCATATATCCTAGGTAGTACACACAGTGGTTGTAACCTAGTGAATGGTCCACCCTTCAGTGTACAATAAATGTCCCTGGCCAAATTTTTTTTTTTTTGCATAATGTCTGTCGTTAATTTCAGAATGGTTTTGTCTGGATGTGGTTTACAGGAATCATCTTTCATCTGTGATGGGGTAGAGATAGAGTGGTGTTATTTTCACTGCAATAGATAACATACAGCCATAATAAGCTCCAAGATATCCAAATAAACAGCAATAACCACCCCTAACTAGTTAATCATAGAATGGTTTGAATTGGAAGGGGACCTTACAGATCATCTAGTTCCAACCCCCCTGCCATGGGCAGGGACATGTTCCACTAGATCAGGTTGCCCAAAGCCTCATCCAACCTGGCCTTGAACACTTCCAGAGATGGGGCAGCCACAACTTGAAGTTGTTGAAGAGGTCCCTAAGGATTTGAAGGATTCCTGCCTGTGCCTCTTCCTTCAGGTCAAAGATGTTGCGGAGCCAAGACCTTGTGTGGATTGCAGGTGCTCAGACCAACTGGAATCCTCCTGCACTGCTGAAGTTGGGCATCTAAAAAGTTAATGTAATCTATATTTCTGATTTGAGTTGCTTAACATCAAGAAAGGAAATACGTCAGGGTTGCCTGGGTTACTGAACTGTTGTTTCCTCTTCTGTCAGGTTTGACCTGGAGGTCTGTGATTATTTTAGCGTAATTGATTTGTCCTTCTCTTTCTCAATGAGATTTGAGGCTGCCCTCCATATGCTAGGAGCATTAAATCATTCTAACAGGTGCATTCTTGTGCTGGGAAGTGTGCAGGAGTGCAAGCGTGAATCTCTTGTGCTGTCTCATAGCACCTAGGCTGGTAGGTGCATTGGTTCAGTTGTATTTTGGGACTCTCTGGACTTGATTCTCCAGTATGTAGGCGAGCTCAGTCATGCAGGTGTGTTGCGGCTATGGATGCTGTGGCTGTGGTGGTGAGCTGCCTCACAAAATCTGCAGGACTGGTGCAAAAGTGATAATTTGGGCATTGCAGTTTTGATAGCAGTTAATCCTAATGTAAGAAGTGATTGGGTTTTTTTCCTCTGCCTCCAACCACACATTTTGTTCTCTTCCTTAGTTTTTGGTGCTTGACCTTCACAGTGAGGTAGTTAAAAAAACAGGCCGAGATAAAAGAGGGAGGAAAAGTAATTTTCAAGAAAAGTAGGACTGCATTTTGTTCCAGTAAGCTCTCTGAACCAGCTTGTAGGGTCACAGATGCTTGTGTTATGGGAGGAGGAGAGTTTGAAGATGAGGAAGGAAGGAGAGGTACAGCAATAATCTGTTTCTAGAGCTATTAGCTTTTATGTCAGTTGAGCAATAACATGTAAAAGCACTTTGAGACTGTTTCATAAAAGGTATTAGGCTGTAAAAGGCTTCATAAAAGGTATCGTATCTGTGTTCATGTGAATCCTAGTCTTATTCCAAGATGTCTTATTTCAAACTGCTTTTCAGCCAAAATACCTAGAAAACTTATTAAAATCATCAGTTATGATACCTGAAGTGGTGCTAGTTTTCAACAGGTTTCAGTGTTACTGAAATGTTTGCACCAGTGCAGCATGCTTTTGCTGACATGGAAATGAAAAACTGGCTATAGCCATGCATGAAAAGAAAACAGAATATAGGTAGTTGTGAAATTTTGAAATTCTGAACCATTGGTTTAAAGTTCTATTTTTGTAAATGGAGCTAAAAATTGGGTGGTTATGAGACTCCAAATGTATATTGTGTGTATATGCTACTGGGTTATTCCTGACAGATGGGGTGTCATCAGGAGTTCACAGATGACTTTCAGGAGAATAAATGAAGAATTAGGGACAACCTAGTGGTTCTTATTGCTGCAGCAGTGTGCATTCAAAGTCATGAATGTTTACCTGGGAAAAGGAGAGGGATTCTTTTGAAATGAAAGCAGCCTTCCAGGAGACAGGGTACCAGTTTGAATTACTTTTTTCAAGACTTGAAGGAGGAGAAAGCTATATTTAGAGAAGATGCCAGGCAGGAGTGTTCTATAGCTACTACTGTGAACAACTCTAATGATATGTAAGAGCATTGACTGACACATATTCCATCAGGCCCTGGCTCCGCAGTAACTCGGGGTGCTCTCTGAGTAAGAGCACATGTATCCTTTGATACCAAGCACAGTCTTCTCCAAGTCCTCAACAGCCAAAGGTTAAAATAAAAGCTAATGCAAAGTGATTCTCACATCTCCTTCCCTCTCCATAAAAACTATCCACTTTGCCTGTGTTTATCTACATCTGCTTTGTTCTAAGATTGTACTTTTGGTGAGGTGACCAAAATTAGCATGGTTAGGACTCATCCAAGAGGAAAAGGGTGGGGAGAGGGAAAGCAGCAGGCAGGAAAGAACTGTGTTCAGAGATGGTGGGAAAGGATGAAAAAGCACAGTTAACTTTGTTCAGAATTCAGACAGCATGCATGAAAGCTGAAGGCTGCTATATACCTTTTAGTTTATATGAAAAAGATGTTGCTCTTGGACCACTGTTATGCTACCAGGGTAGCACCTTTTAATGATGTGTAATTTGACCATCTGAACAAATTAAATGCAAATTTCAAACAAATGCATGACACAGGCCTCAAAGGATCTACTCAAACAATGAGATTATTGCTCTCTGATTCTAAAATACTGGGGAGTTTATCAATTGCAGGATGAAAATTCAGTTTGATGGTGTACAGATGTGTTAGCTTACAGTTTCCAGCAAAGCTAAACCAAAAGAAGGAAGTTGGGAGAGGCAAGGAGTGTGTGCCTTGCCAAATAGGGAGATGGGAGAGGCTAAAACTGGCATGTGCTGTGTGGGAGTGCACTATCTGCTGAACATGTTACCCCCTTGGAAACGCACACAGAGGAAATTGTACTGCCTCCTCGCAGAGTGAGGCTCCAGGATTACTAGGGCTCTTGTTCCATGAAGTTTCTCTCTTGTCTCTCTGGTTTGGGGATGGAGATGGTAATGGGAGTTCTGAATTGAGTGTTTTGACATTTGGGTCAAAAAATTGGGTGTTTTGACATTTCTCTTCACCCAGTCGATTTGATTCACGGCCATGCTATGCTCGAATCAGTCTTAAAGTTAGCTATATAAAAATTAAAGACTTCAGACAGACTTCTGCAGGCTAGTGGGGTTGGCAGAAGCATGGGAGCAGAATTAGCTCAAATTCAGTTAAGCTCATATTGAAGTTGCAAGCTGTATTGGGAATTTGCTTACTTGCTCTCTGGTATGCTTAGTTTTTCAAGATTCTGTATGATCTTGAAAAGTTCTTCTGTGTTAGTATTTTGCTAGCTGGAAGCTGCTAGTTGTCATGATAGCTTCACCCTTGGTCCTGCAATGAGGCATGGCACTGCTTGCTAGTGTTGTCAGGCATACTCGAGCAGAAATAGCAGGGTTTTATGGGTAGGTCTTTGTTACAACTTTCTGCTCTGGATACTGTCTTAATGCATTTATGTGTTTATGCTTGTGAGGTTTCTAGGTGGGAGATGTGTCAACTGTCAGATCCTCATATCTTGTGGTTTTTTTTTTTTTCAGAACTCTATTAGACATAACCTGTCTCTGCACAGCAAGTTCGTTAAAGTCCATAATGAAGCCACAGGGAAGAGCTCTTGGTGGATGCTCAATCCTGAGGGTGGTAAAAGTGGAAAAGCACCAAGAAGAAGAGCTGCCTCCATGGACAACAGCAGCAAACTCGCAAAAGTCAGAGGTAAAGCATCCAAAAAGAAGCCTCCTCTCCAGTCTGCTCCAGAATCCACTGCTGACAGTCCTGTTTCCCAGTTCCCTAAGTGGCCTGGGAGCCCATCCTCAAGAAGCAATGAGGACTCTGATGTGTGGAACACCTTCCGGCCTCGAACCAGTTCCAATGCAAGCACCATTAGTGCCAGACTTTCTCCTATCTTGACGGAGCAGGATGACCTGCACGATGAAGAGCTGCTTCCTTCTCTGGTGTACTCCAGTGCATCCAGCAATGTTCCACCAACTGTGACTGAGGAGCTTGAGCTCATTGATGGGTTAAATTTGATGTCTCCCAGCTCATCTGTGTTATCTACCCAGCAGTCTGCCTCAAGTGGTCAGATCCAGAGAGATTCCAGCTTTTCCTTGCAGACCCCAAATGCAGCTGGTCAGACGGCTTCTTTTGGCAATTCCCTGTTTAACCCGGTTGATATCTCGCTGCAAAGTTCTGTCAGCCATTTTTCTGCCCCTCAGACCTTGGAAGCTCTTCTGACACCCAGCTCTCCACCTCCACGGGATGTTATGATGACTCAGGTGGATCCAGTTCTCCCGCAGACTGGTAACAGGATGAGCAGCCGAACTCTTCTGCTTCTCAGTGGACAAGCTGCCCAGACTAAGATGAGGTCAGGCAATCCACAAGGAAAGCCAACAGAGCAGCAGGCAGAACCGGTCAATGCCAGTGTTTTGCCATCAACGCTTCCCATAGTAACATCTCCTCAAAACACTGCCAGCATCACCAGTTTAAAGGCTCCAGTTTCTGCAACAACTGCCCAGTCGGTCCAGCTGGGCAGTCCGCTGCTTCTTTCTTCTGCTAGCCCTGCTCCCTTGGGATTGAACCAGGACAGGCTACCCATTGACCTGGACATTGACATGTACATGGAGAACCTTGAATGTGATATGGATTACATAATCAACAGTGAACTCATGGATGGAGAAGGACTGGACTTCAATTTTGAACCCATTCTGTCTACTCCCAGCTATCCCAGCACCTCGCAGGCCTCCAACCACACCTGGGTACCAAGTTAACTTCAGGAGCACAAAAAGGTAGGTATAGTTACGTAAAATGCTACAGCTCTATAATGAGAACAGCCCTATATTTCTCATATTTGAAGTTGTGGCAATCCGGTGAAGTTCCCAGTGACTGGAAAAGGGGAAACTTAGCCCCCATCTTGAAAAAAGGAAGACCTGGGGAACTGCAGGCCGGTCAGTCTCACCTCTGTGCCTGACAAGATCGTGGAGCAGATCCTCCTTGAAACTATGCTAAGGCACGTGGAAAAAAAGGATGTGATTGGTGACAGCCAACATGGCTTCACTAAGAGCAAACCATCCCTGATTAATTTGGTGGCCTTCCACAATGGGCTTACAACATTGGTGTAATATTCCTTATCGGGAAGAGCAACTGACATCATCTACCTGGACTTGTCCAAAGCATTTGACACTGTCCCACATGACATCCTTGTCTCTAAATTGGAGAGACATGGATTTGATGGATGGACCACTTAGTGGTTAAGGAATTGACTGGATGGTCGCACTCAAAGAGTTGTGGTCAACAGTTCAATGTCCAAGTGGAGGCCAGTGACAAGTGGCATTCCTCAGGGGTCGATATTGGGGCTGGTGCGGTTTAACAGCTTTGTTGGCGACATGGACAGTGGGATCGAGCACACTCTCAGCAAGTTTGCAGATGACACCAAGCTGTGTGGTGTGGTTGGCACATCCAGAGGGACCTTGACAAACTTGAGAGGTGGGCCTCTGTGAACCTTATGGAGTTCAACAAGGCCAAGTGCAAGGTCCTGCACGTGGGTTGGGGCAATCCCAAGCACAAGTACAGGCTGGGTGGAGAATAGATTGAGAGCAGCCCTGAGGAAAAGGACTTGGGGGTGTTGGTTGATGAAAAGCTCAACATGAGCCAGCAATGTGCAATTGCAGCCCAGAAAGCCAACCACATCCTGGGCTGCATCCAAAGCAGCATGGGCAGCAGGTTAAGGGAGGTGATTCTGCCCCTCTACTCTGCTCTTATGAGACCCCACTGGAATACCGCATTCAGCTCTGGGGTACCCAACACAAGAAGGACATGGACCTGCTGGAGCAGGTCCAGAGGAGGGCCACAAAGATGATCTGAGGGCTGGAGCACCTCTGCTATGAAGACACGCTGAGAGAGCTGAGGTTGTTTAGCCTGGAGAAGAGAAGGCTCTGGGGCGATCTTCTAGCAGCCTTCCTGTACCTAAAGGGAGCCTACAGGAAAGCTGGTGAGGGACTTCTTGCAAGGACGTGACAAGGGGCAATGGCTTTAAACTGAGATTTCGATTAGTTATAAGGAAGAAATTTTTTACATTGAGGGTGGTGAGGCGCTGGAACAGGTTGCCCAGAGGGGTTGTGGCTGCCCCATCCCTGGAAGTGTTCAAGGCCAGGTTGGATGAGGCTTTGAGCAACCTAGTGTAGTGGAACGTGTCCCTGCCCATGGCAGGGGGGTTGGAACTAGATGATCTTTGAGGTCCCTTCCAACCCAAACCATTCCATGATTCTGTCTGAGATAGTTCCTGTGCCCAACTCTGCAGCAGTTAAAGATACCTCTTTGGAAGCGCAGCTCTTCTTTGAGTAAAAAGCTTCTAGGGGAACCACATTCCCTTTCAGAAGGACAAGCAGCTGTGTAAAGGTAGGTAGGTTTAACTTACCAGGTAGTAAACTCTTTTTTTGGAATAGAGCAATAACCTGATTTAAACTCCTGTTGTCTCTTGTAACCAAAGATGACTGTGTTACAGGATGTTGGTCTCTGCCATGCAGTGCCTATACCTCTGAGGTCGACATGAGAGCATATGCTGATTCCATAAATAAAGACATCATCCTGTATACACAGAACGGTTGAACTGAGCCAAGCACATGTTGTGTTTCTATCCACGTTATTATTGTCATTGTAAAATTTTCTCGTATGTGTAGTTGCAAGGAGTGTCTGTGTCATGACTACCTGCTTTGCCCTGTGTGTGGCAGGACACAATCATTCTGTCATCAGACCTTCTGCCTTTCCCTGATCTGGGATAGTCTCGGTAAAGTCTAGTAAGCTGGTTCATCAGCATTAACTACTGAATTGCTGATGTACCTGTTCTTGTACTGGGAAATGGGAGTATGCAGTGTGGATGGAGCTGGAAGGAGGAAGGGTGTGTTAGTGCTATCCCATGCACAGCAACGCTGCCTCTGCAGTCATCTTTTGTATTTGCACATCTAGAGTTGGTTTGGCAAACAGTGTATATGAGAACAAGAGTTAAAAGTGTCTTATTCTCTGAGAATGTGACACCCTGATTTGAAGCTCTTTAACCACTGGGGCAGTTGAATTAGAGAAATGGAGCTGAAGGCAGACTTCATACTTGCAGCTCGGTTAGCTAACAGAATTGACAGTTTCTTTTATGGACTGGAGCGCAGGCTGGATATTGGTTGGAAAGTGGAAGCCTTGCCAAGAGTATTTCCTGTTTAGAAGGCAGGTATATTTATTAGTGTTGCAAATTCAACCCCTAATACTGGCTGTCTGAGCAGGCAGAAGTAAGGGCAAATTGCAGATACTGCTTCAGTTATAGGAAGCCCTTGAGCTTCAAAATGATTGAAACTGAGTGAAATTATCATGTACTTGACCTTAGTACTTCTTCATAGGCACCTGAGTAACCTGGAGGTGGTTTGGACTAGGTGACCTCTGGAGGCTCATTTCAACCTAAATTTTCTGGTGGTTTCTGCTTCTGTTCATGCTGGAGACCAGATATTAAGTTAAATATTTTTCTGCTCTGCCCCAGTACAGTTGTTCTAGACAAGTGTCTTGGCTCTAGACAAAGTGAAATGCTGTCCTTTGAGCCAGTAGTACTTAAACCCTGTCAACATATTGGTGCACCACTGTATATTGACACAGTTTAACTCCTCCTTATTCCAAGTCCCACCACACTGCTTAGGATTTCATTTATTAGGAACTACCTTCTGTCTGTACTTAACAGATCTCTTTACTGTAGAGAAACGGAGGATCAGTCAAGCTTTTCTGTTTCAATATGGGGCTTTTTATAGTCATGCGTTTGTTAACTTGCTGAATTACTGAGTGACTGTCTTAAATTGAATATTCTAACTTCAGGTGGAATACGGAAATTCAGTTTTGATTTTGAAGGCAAATTCGGTTGACAAAATATTAAACTAAGGAGGGACAGGGCATGTGTGGAGAGAAATAGGAGTGCTCCTGGAGGCCAGGAAGGACCCTGGGAGAAGAAGGCAGAATGTTTTCTTAAATTTACAGGTTCCAAAACCAGGAGAGCTGCAGACATCAGTGTCTGCGAGGAGGTCAAGACCATGTCACCTCTTCCTTTTCTGAATCTGTTACTGCAGTGGGTTATTAGGATCCCTGTTTGGAAATCACTGTTCAGGGAAAGCATGGCTGCCATTATATATTGTTCCAGTGTGCCAGGCTTTTTTCCTTTCATATCCTTTCTACGAATATGTTTTTTCCGTGTTAAATTCACATTGGGAAAAGCTACTCTAAGCGATTGCTAACCTAAAGCTGTCCTGAGTAGTTCCTGTGGCCTTAACCTGCAGCCTTCTGGGTCATTTATGGGTGTAACACTGAGCAAAAACTGCTCGTCAATAAATGCCAGCGATCACACTCTGATTTGAACACCTAGAATTAAACTGGAGCTGGGGAAATACTTATCATTGTAGACAAGAGAAGATCTTAAGGAATAAGTACTTAGTCTGCAGTGCTTGGGAAGACATAAGCTGGTTGATGTTACTTGTGGTGCTGAAAGCTGACCTGACTTTATCACCTTCTTGCAAGTTAAAAGCTGAAGAGCTTGTCCACAGCTTCACCAGGAGTCTCTTTTAACCTCCGGTCTCTTACGTGGAGATTAGAGATGAAGCACTGAAACTTTGTCTCTGCCCAGCGGCAATGCGACACCCACAACCCTAGCTATTAGGCGCAGAGGAAGAAAGTCAGAGTGTGAATGCTTTTTTTTAGTAGGAAAAACATAAATTCCCAATTTCTGCTGCTTTTACCTGATAGCTGTGGCTCATTTAGTTGTGAGCCTGCTGTTCACTGGTTAAGGCACTGGATGTCCAAGCCATAGTGACTTACAGAAGCCTTAGTGAGCACAGTCATAGAAAAAGGATAGCCACATCTGGAATTAGATGGTGGCATGCAGGTGCTCAACGAGGGCAGCCACTCTTGCCTTCAGCACTTAATGCATGTGTCCCCCATTCTGGTTGTGGGAAGTGTGAGTTGCCACCTGGCTGTCTCTGAGCAGCTCAGGGACTTTGGGCTTGCTCATCTACCTCTGTTACGTATTTCTGCAAGCCAGAAGGAGGAATACCTGGGAACAGAATTTCCTTTTTTGTACAGTGGCGGAGTTTATGCCTCATTGACAAGTGTAAAGTCCATCCACTCTTCTGATGGACACTAGTTAGTGAACATCAGTTGTTCAGTTAGACTCCCTATAGCTTCAGCCTGGAGAACTCTTTATCCCTTGCCCAGCTTGGTCTGGACTCATGATTTTCCTGCTGTGCTCTATCTAATTCCTTTTGGTCCAAACACTGTATTTTTGTCTCCCAGAACATTAATAAATAAATAAATAAACCTCCTATCAACTTGCAGTTTCCCAGACTAGCCTGACTGGCTTCTGTTTTAAGTTACTGTCTTTTCTTGTTCCTGGCTGATTCCCTCTTGTAGCTTCTTTTCCTTTCCACGAGTTCATTTCATGCTCACTGTTACTGAATGCAACTGATTTGATGTCCGACGTGCATCTTGCTATTCTGCCTTCCAAAGTGGATCATAGATATGTGGTGGAGGTTTTATGTCAGTGTCTTAAGTCTGCTTAGACCTATTCCACGGCTTGTTTGAATGAGTTGTGGCAGCTTCATTCAGGTGAGGTGGAAGACCTGAGAACGGATCTTCAGACTCAAAGGGAGAATGAGAAATCTAGAAATGTCTAATTATTTTGAGATAGATACAGGATTTCTTTAAGTGAGTGAACATAAAGAGTTTTAGCGTGTGATCTCTAAAAATCTTTTTT